GTTATGCACAGTTTTACACACAATGGGGATGTTTTATGGTGGGGTGAACATAGGGGGGGAGAATTGGGGGAAAAAGGACCCCCCCCAGGGAAGGCCTGCAAAGGTTGAGAAACACCGAGTCCAACCCTTCTTGCTGGCAATAAGCCTCATTAATGAGACTGTGTGTGAATCTTGGTTGTTGGCTGCAGTTAGGGGCGTGGCTCCTTTCTTACTCAGAAGATCTGTTGATTATGGGCAATTAAACATTTATTGGAAAAGAATGCTGTTTCTGTTTAGAGGAACTTCCAGAAAGCTGTGATTAATTACTGAATAATTGCTTATTTTGTTGTAAGGACCACTGGTGTCTCTTTTTTACTTTGTCACAGAGAGCGAGCGAGAGAGAGAGGGGGATTATTACATATTAATAATCTCCCTTTCCTTTGCGTGGTTGTCACATGTCAATGTTTCTCTCTTCATATGGTTCTCTCCCCATTCCTTTGACTCCTTACAGAAGGAAGTGTCCTGTAATCCCGCTCACGGCCCGGTACCAATGCAATCATTTACCAGGGTCCTGAAAGAAGGATAGGCTACACCACACAAAACAACACACATATGCCACCTTGCCCCAAACTCTCAGCAAGATTAAAATGAAACCAGCTTTGTATGAAGGCATCTGACAGGTCTTTGCCAGAACTGATGAAGTCTGTAGGGGGAACGTGGTTAATACTTTCCATGAATTTAGGCCTCCCCACTCAAAAAACTGCATTCAGTTAGGCCTGGCAGATTCCAGTTGGTGGTGGTTAGGGAGGAGAGATCCTGCCCTCAGCCTGTTATGTGGGGTGCCACAGGGTTTGGTGCTCTCCCCCCTCCTATTTAACATCTACATGAGGCCGCTGGGTGAGCTCATCCGTTGCCATGGGGTGAGGTATCATCAGTATGCTGATGACACCCAATTATACATCTCTGCCCCTGGCGAATTAAGCGATGCTATGAATGTCTTATGCCGGTGCCTAGAGGCTGTGAGGGTCTGGATGGGGAAAAATGAGTTTCAGCTGAACTGTGGCAAGACTGAGTGACTTTGGGTTTTGGGGCCTTCTGGTTCTAGAGTTATGCCATCTCTGGTGCTGGATGGGGTGGCACTGCCCCAGACAGACCCTGTGCGCAATCTGGGGGTCCTCCTGGACTCACAACTCCTGCTCAAAGAGCAGGTGGCAGTCGGGTCCATCTCTGGTGCTGGATGGGGTGGCACTGCCCCAGACAGACCCTGTGCGCAATCTGGGGGTCCTCCTGGACTCACAACTCCTGCTCAAAGAGCAGGTGGCAGTCGGGTTAGGAGGGCCTTTGCACAGCTTTGTGTTGTGCGCCAGTTGCACCCATTCCTAGATCAGAGGGACCTAATCACTGTCCCTCATGCCCTGGTCACCTCTCGTTTGGATTTCTGTAATGTGCTATATGTGGGGCTGCCCTTGAAGAGTGTCCAGAAGCTTCAGCTGGTGCAAAATGCAGTGGCGCGGGCAGTTATGTGTGCCCCTAGGCTTCGCGAGCTGCACTAGTTGCCAGTTTGCTTCCGGGTCCAATTCAAGGTGCTGGTTTTGACCTTTAAAGCCCTTCATGGGAATGGGGCCGGGTTACGTGAGGGACCGCCTCTCCCCCATCACATCTGCCCGTCCCATCAGATCTGGCAGAGAAGGCATGCTGCGGATCCCATCTGCTAGAG